TTGTGAGCGTGAGGGAAAGAGTTTCGAGTATGGAGGTTCTAGAAACTTAGGTCTGCTAACAAATCTTCTTTTCGATTATTTCAGAAATTCTTGATGAAATTGAGAATTATGACTCTGACAACAGCGGGTCATATTCCTCTTCGACAGGTAAGTGCCCTCAAATCTCATGCGATGACAAAAACTTCTAGGGGAGTCCTCAGGCCCTGCAGTAAAGAGCTAGGAAACCTGAGTTTTCAGTTACCATCTCTGCAAATAATCTACAGAGAAGAGCAAGGATATTTAACTTCTCATTCATTCTACTCCAGAATATGAAGATGAAAGTGAAGAAAGTGAAGAAAATGAAGAAGAGGAAAATGCTGAGTCATCCCAGGAAATGGATCCCCCGATAGTAGAAGACACCAAACCTGCTGGCTCATGTGAACCCTCAAACCTCACTGAAGGTAAGGCCCTACAGTACAGGGGAAAGACCACTGAGATAGGTTCAGAAACTCTGGGTTATTTCTAACTTCCTCACTTTCCCCCCCGGTCACAAGCAAGGTCAACACTTGTATCCCTGCTCTCCATCTTCTGAGAATCGGGAAGTGAAGGTGAAGATCATGAGCTGGGGGAGAACTGGGGGTCGTAGGCATAGGTTCTCCTACGAGAGGCAGCACCATGGACATGTGGTGACACTACATGAGCTGAGGCAGACAGAGAGGCCCCTACTGAGCAACAGAAAGAGAGCTGGAATAAAACACAAGCCATCTCTGTACTGAGCCCATCATTGCCCTTGACTAACCACGTTCCCTGGTAGAATTATCTTAACTTTTCTGAGACTCATTTTTTTTCTGAGTCTCACATTTTTAAAGGAGATTAATAACATCTATAAAGATGCATAAAACGTCAAAGAGAGATCAACTAACAACTGCACAAACAGAAGAAGGAAGTGGTTAAAAAAGACACGTTAAAAAAAGCACAACAGGACCTGTCACACATACCGTGTGATCACTAAAGAAACTGATGAGTTACTGAACCACATTCGAGAATCGTAGTGTCTAGAAAGGAGTGATAGTGCTGTTGTGTTTTGATTAGCATGTTTTCAGAAGTTCTGGACAAGCTTACAAAGGCATAAACATTTTGCCATCTTTATTCACTGTCTTATCTATTCATATACCCGTACGTATATATGCATATATTAGCTGAAAACCTACATATGCTGTTACAATCACTGTGTTTATAGCAGGAAGTGAGATAAATAAAGATCCTGCTTTTATGGAGTTTACAGTGCAGTGAAGGTATTTATATAGTAAGAATGACCAAAATGCAAGCGTAATTCGGGGGATGGAGAAGAGAAACGAGGCGAGGCATGTGGGCCAGGATGAAGAGCTATGAGAACTCATCTGACGTGATATTCGGGACAATGTGACCAGTTGGGACGGGATGTGTCATACTCTGAGGCCAAGGCCTTGCAGGGAAGGAGGAAACAATCCCAAGAGCTCTCAGTCAGAAATGGTCTTGCCGTGTCCCAAGATCAATCTGATGGGAGAGGAGGAGATTAGGAGGGACGTAGTAGAAGGAGCTGTTAGGATCTCAGCTTGGAGCTACCATACTATTTAGAGCCTTTTAGAAAGTGGGAAAGTATCGGGATTGTATTTGCAATAGAAAGGCCCTTAGAAGTTTTTAGGTGGAGGAGTGATAAACCAGCATAGCATCAGAAAGGTCACATGTGTTCAAATGTTTCAGTTAAGAGATCACAGCTTTCGGCTGGTGTTGCCATAGTAGGGAAGTTGTCACATGGTCAAATCTGGAGCACCTTTGGACAGAGAGTTGACAAAAACATAGACAGAAATAAAAATAATAAACTCTACCTTGATCTACCAAACCAGATTTCTAGGAATGAGCTCCAGGAGCTCTGCTTAACAAGCTCTCAGATACTTTTGCATTTTAAATTTTTTTTTTTTCAATGTTTATTTATTTTTGGGACAGAGAGAGACAGGGCATGAACGGGCGAGGGGCAGAGAGAGAGGGAGACACAGAATCGGAAACAGGCTCCAGGCTCCGAGCCATCAGCCCAGAGCCAGACGCGGGGCTCGAACTCCCAGAGCGCGAGATCGCGACCCGGCTGAAGTCGGACGCTTAACCGACTGCGCCACCCAGGCACCCCTACTTTTGCATTTTAAAATTTGAGACCCATGGGCCTAGAATCAGACATCCAAAGTCCTTTCCATACTTAAAATCTTATTGTTCTCACAGACAAGAAATCACCCCAAGATCTGGTCAATGACAAAAAGGGGATTGCTCATGGCATGCTTGGTACCTTTTTTGCGGACTTGAGGGAAAAGAAGGTGTTAAAAGAACGAGAGATACAAACACTAGGGGAAACAGTGAATGTCATTGTGGATAAGACTGAAGGCCTGGTTGGTGATCTCACTGAGAAAACTCAACTGGTGGGCAAAATGCTAAAGAACCATTTCTTCAGTTCCAAGAGCGAGGCGACTATAAGTGAGTATCTGAAGTCAAAGGACAGGTAACTCATTGGTATCTACTCTCCTTATGCGGTTTCTGTGTTCTTATTTCTATTTGCAAGTGGAGAATCAACTATCCACATGTCTAG